GCTCCCCTCCTGGGCTTCCTGCACCCCGGGGAGAGGGCCCAGCGAGCAGGGGGGGAAGCCCCCTGGGACCCGCAGTTACTTTTATTGATTTTCTGGGCATCTGACAGCCAAAAATGGAGGCGTGGTGCGCAGTAGAAAGAGGCCAGGCGATGCAGAAAACGCAAGAAAAGCGAACCCCCGGAACAAAGGAGCGCGCCCAATTTAGACATTCCTACATCGGTTTGGAATTCTTCCTGCCCTTGGAAAATCTATTTCTTTGAAGTTGAACCTTTTGACCAATGCTGTCGGTTTCTTCCAAGCCATTTGACTGAACCTGCCACCAAAAATCACTTTGTAAACAAAGAAAAAGGCAGGGGCTGACCCAAGGTATGATGAACAATTGGGGGGGGGGGGGGGCTTGTGGTTTTACTTTCTCAGTGTGCATCCTTGATTTAAAAAAATGTGACCTCTAACCCTCAACTTTGCTATCCCTCCCTCTCCCACTGTCTGCCTTTTCTGGGAGCAGCCAGGAGGTTGACATATTTTAGACAAATCACAGCAGCCAACTTCCTGTCCGGCCCCATTTCTACTGGAAAAGACCGCCTCCACCTCTCCGGGGTTCAGGTAACCGGATTGATGGAGCCTCCTTCACCGCGAACTTCTCATAACCCAATGCATAAATAATCACATGTTTTATAAATAGCTGTGGACAAGAGGCTGTAAAACAAGGAAGATATATTTGTGCCTTTATGTCCTAGAAATATTTCCTAAAAGGACTGTTTTATTTGGTGTGGGTTGAATGTGGGCGTGTGTATACATAACAATCCCCAAAGTTTTCCCCTGCCCCCCTGCAGGTCAGACCAGCACTATAGTTAGCAAATTGATAAGGTTCCATGGGCAAGCTTTATTCGTTGTGACACGAGCCTATGACACTTTATAAAAAGAAGTAATCCAGAACAATCTCTAGGTAATTAACACCTAGATAAACAAACATAAATTTCTATATTGCATTTATTTGGACTACCACTCAAATATGCGTGAACCATGCTTTTTTAATTAAAAGATAAATCCATGTGACACTTAGCCTCAAACTTAATTATTCAGCATAGTATAATAAAAAATAGAGCCCATTAAATGTGTCTTGCACTGTATTTCTGTATTAACAGCAAAACAGTTCGGTCTGGGATCATTTAAATTTTCCCCCTCCTCTTTGCTTGTGGTTTCCCTGTTCGCATAAGCCCTTCTCCCCTCCCAGCCTCCCTCCCTCCCTCTCTCTGTCTCTCTCTTTTCTCTTAGCACCAACAGGTGAAGAGAGTAAAACTCTACACAAGCCCCTAACGTGGAATGCTCAGCTGGGCGACATTTTTAATATTGCATTACACTCTGAAATTTTTTCCTTCCCCATGGAAACATACCTCTAGCTCGGTGAAACGTGCCCAGCCCTTCTATCTTGAAAAGAAGATCACAATATTTAGCACTAATTTCCTTGGGATTGTGCTTACAATACACCAGGTGAGGTTTTCATAATATACTGTTACAATACAGATGTTAAACAGAGAGGGGAAGGAAGTGTGCAAATCGCAAACTACGAGAGACAGCAGGGTTATCTTTGTAAAAGGTTCAGCACAAAATAGTACCTTAACACTGACTCTCAGCATCTCAGCAGCTTCTGGCTGCCAGGAAAAGAAATTCACGCGTGAGCCGTTCCCCATCCGGTCGGAAGTAGGAACAAACATTGCTTCAGTCCCTCAGCAAGAATAGATAAAGTGATGACCGTGTGCCAGGTGCCGTGTGAAGTGCTTCGTGTGCCCTGTCCCCTTTCGTCCTCACAGCAAAGGGGGCTGTGGCAGGGACGCCTCGGACCCAAGTCTCAGCCCCTGGGCTCCCCCACATGGGCCTTGCCCTGGCCTCCCGGGTGGCCGGCAGCAACAGTGGGCCGAGACCCAGGGTGAGCAATCATCCAGGTTTGTCCGGCACTGCCCTGGCTTTTACCACTGAAAGCCGCACGTCCTGGGAAAGTCAGGATGTTTGCCCTCCTACGTAGAATCCTCCGGCAGACGGAACAGCTGCCAGCGCCGGTGCGGCCAAGCTCGTCCGCGGAGGGATGAACTGCCGCCGTTCAAAGACCCCGAACTGGATTCAGGAGACTCCCATCCACTCCTTCCCAGGGAACTGAGGCCTCCAGGCGTGAGCGAGCGGTAACTGCCAGTTCTCTCCGATCCTGTCAATCTGTTGAAGTCATTTGCATCCCTCGACATGGACTCTCTTGGCTGCAGAATGCGCTGTGTTTCAACGTGAAGTGGGTTCCTAGCCGTTGTCGCTTTTAATAACAGTCCTCCAAACCTGGCCGTGCCTGGCCTGCTCTCTGCATGGGTACGATCTCATTTAATGGCACAGACAGCCTTTTGTTATGCACACCGCTTTCCACTTTATAGATAAAGGAGCAAATTTGGGGCATGGGGATGATCTGCCAGGATCACACAGCCACTGAGAGGCGGAGACAGGAGATCAGAGCCCTCGCCATGCCCAGTCGGCCCTTTGCACATGCTGTTCCTGTACCCTGCTCACTCTCCCTCACGTCTCCGGTCACTGTCACTGCCAAGGAAGTCTTCCCTGACGTGAGAAATCCGTGTTATTTCTGAATCTCGTCTTCCGGGTGTTTTAGGTTTACCTCTGCGATTATCAGACTGAAGTCTGTTTTCTCCACAGACAGTGATCTATGGGCCTGATCCCTGACTCGCTGGTGTCTCTCCAGCTCCTGGCCCGATGCCTGGCACACAGTAGGTCCCTTGTAAGCTTTACTGAACAAGCGAGTGGAACAGCATCAAATCCCAGGACCAGTTCTTTTCCTGCTACACCCCACGCTTTCCCCAGATGCTTCCCAATACTCTGAAAACGTCAAGGAAGCGATTAACACCGCGATTTTTTTTCTTTAATGAGGAAACTGGAAAACAGAGTAGAAGACATCCGTCCAGGACCTTATTGTCTGAAGCAGGTGGGTGTGGAAGAGCCCTGACCATCAGAGCCTTTCCCCAAACATGGGGGCTTCAGCATACAGTGTTTCATAGGTGTGAAATCCATCCCAAGTTTATCCCTAACTTCCTACACCACAGCGGCGCAACAGCGAAAATTTACAAAACCTAACCATGATCTCCCCTACTTTATTGCGTTCAATTTCACTGTTTCACAGATACCACCGATGAACCCAGGACTGTTAAATCGTTCAAGATCAAGCAGCCGGTAAGTAGTAGAGTTAGGGCTCAAATTTAAGCCTGTACACCCTTATTTTGTAATTGTCTGCACGAAGACAGTCGTCTAGGACTGTGGAGGGCCCAAAACATTTTGATGGAAATCTGTATTGATGCTTCTCAGAAAGGCCGCCTTCTGGCTTTATTTTTATTTTATAACAGCTTTATTGAGATGTAATTCACATATCATAAAATTTACCCTTTAAAAGTGTACAACTCAGTGGTGTTTTAGTTTATTCAGGCTCGGTCAACCCTCCTTGCGGCCTAATTTTAGGACATTTTTATCACTCCCAAAAGAAACCTTGAACTCGTGAGCAGTCACTCCCCATTCTCCCCTCCCCCCCAGCCCGTCAACCTGTCCTTAAGCCCTATTCTGGGACATTCTAGACGTTTCCTCTAAATGGGCTCATATAACATGTGGTCTTTTATAACCGGCTTCTTGCGCCCAACATCCTGTTTTCAAAGTCTGTCCATGTTTTAGTCTGCATTCGTGCTCCATTCTTTTTCATGGCAGAATAATATTCCATTTTACAGATAAACCACATTTTATTCATCTTTATTATACAGGTCTTGAAAACACATTTTGAGCCAACCTGTAAAAACTGCGAGACTTAATGCAAAATCCAGGTATCCGGTGTCTCTGGAAAACTCAGAAGCCCTGATGCCACATTCCTCGTGGTGATGACAGGCAGTTGCTAAGGGTCCACACACCACCCCCCCCCCCGCCCGAGACCCTCCCCCCATCCTTACTCGCCTCTTTCCCCCACTGTGGTGCTTTGCCTGGCCCCTGGAGGCATTTAGGTTTGGGATCCACCATGTACCTGGAGTTGTAACCTTCCCGCCCCGATGGGGTCACTTCCTGACCCTTCCCTGTAACCTCGTGACTCACCTGTGCTGTTTGCTGGTCATAACAATGGACAGTCAGGTCTGTCAAAAATTCCATTCCAGTCGCCCCGGCTCCCATGCAGCGAGGCCTATAGTCTGGCATCCTGAAAGAAACACGGTGATTTACAAATTCCTACGCAACGTGGGTGGATGCTTTTGCTTGCAACATTTCCTTGGGCCCTCAGTACTCCAGAGCCGCAGCCCGCATTATGCAAGCTTGGCTTTCACACCAAATCAACAGCAATGAAAAACAAATCAAAAAGCGACTCTGCTCATCAAGTGTGGGGAACACACTTCAGACCCTCTCAAATCACTGTCAGGGGGCTGGCTGCGTTATCAGTAGCCCTTACGCCACAGGTTTTACTGTTCTCTATTCTTTTCCTTTTCTTCCAGAGGAAGAATTCAGATTATCCTCTGGAAAAGGCTTCCTTGCCTTTAATGATTTTTTAAACAACTTCCTACCAATAAAGGGGAATAATAGATCCCAATGCTTTCAGCGTCTTACATAATTACGGCGATAGGAAAAGCACTTGTATTTCCATTGGCTTTACCTTACTGAAACCAGGATCCACGAACCTTTGAAGAAGTGTATTTCCCACATGCACATGGGTGTGCGCACACACTCACACACACACACGCACTCACGTTGTGTATACGGCACAGAGATACTCACGGGGCTCGAACAGCCCGAGGCTGTGGGGACCATCCCCCCAGGATACTGAGGAGGTTTTTATGAATAAGCGGGGTTTGACCAAGCCTTAGCAAAGTCTGACAAAGCTGCAAGCACACGTTTTACTCTTCCTAATAAACATCAGTGAATAGGAAAAGATTTTTTTTTTTTTCCAGAGGTAGAGGTTTTATTGCGTAAAACACTGGATAAAACCGGACTGCTTCAAAGACATTTTATTCTAACAGCGGAAAGAAAACAGTCATTGCTGAAAAAACAACTTTTAATACTTTCTATACCAGAATAAAGTTCTGTCAACTGATGTATTATAATAATAAATAATGACCAAGAATAAACTTTAAATACAAAGTTTTCTACTTGTTACAAGCATAGCAACAAAATCCTCTACGCTATTGATCTCAGATTTCCTCCAAGATAGATTTTTTTTTTCTTTGTGTAGGAATGTAGACAGTATTATGACCAGCATCACAGACTACAGAAGTTACAGGGAAGAAACTTGACATGTTTAGATAGGAGGACCTGGTGACATTCAGAAACTGACACTGCATCACTGTGGCTGTCACTTGTTTGTATTACAAGTTACAAATGTTCTGGAAAGAAGGCCTGTGTCAGAGGGGGAAATAAGGACACGGTAGCACTGGACAAAATGGAATCAACACACACGCCACAAAGAGGAGGGGTGTTCCCAGTGTCACAAACAGAATTATTGCCTGTCGCATCTGACGATGCTCAGAAGACACAAAAGAATACCAAAAGAGCGCCCAAAGTGCTAGAAATGGAATGTGGCTCTCATGTTTCTTTCACTTTTTTTTCCTCTTTTTTTTTCTTTTTACCTTTTTTTTCTTCTTTTTTTTTTCTTTTTTTTTTTCTTTTTTTTAATATTTTTCTTTGCTAAGATACCAAAGGCGGGGCAAACACACAGAAAGCAAGCGACTGGCACAGTCACCAAACACAGTAGTGCAGTTAAAATCCTAAAGCTCACTACAGTCAGAAAGTTTTCAATAACATTTCAGTCCTTCCTCTAGGATCATAGAAACAGTTGCATTAAGTTTATCAACTCGATTTAAGTAAGGCAGTGAGAACTATTCTAGAAAAACAAGAAAGCAGCTTGCTCTATGCCAGATGGGTCCACGTGGAACAGCGACCTCATTTTCACCGAAACCTTGGGTAGATGACACCCTCTCTACAGCATATGCAAACCGGATTCCTTATTAGCCTGAGATTCCTTCTGGTCTCAGGATAGCGCTAAGCATTTTATTTACATTGAGAGCAGTTTAGAAATTTTGTAAACTGCTGTAGGCAGAGCTGAAGTTTTTAAGGCCCTGGGGTTTTATTCTGTGCTCCCAGCCTGCAAGGAAATATCGACTTTTTTTTTTGTTTAAGTCTGAATGATTTCGTTTTAGAAGAAGTTAATACTTCAATACTTCTCTATCATCACAAGCAACAGCACCAATTTCGTGTCACTCAAAGGAAGTATGTTAAAGAGGCTGAACTCGTACGCCATTCTAGCAGATTCAAGAATAAACCCTTAACTAGTCTTCTTAAATCTTTTTTTTTTTTTTTTTTTTGAATGAGTTAAGTGGTTCATTATTGGCCCTCAAAATCTCCCTCTGGGTGGTGCAGAACTTGATAAATTTGGAGTATCCAATCAGTAAAAAATCTAAAATCTACAAAAATATAGAACACATTTGTTTTACAAAAACAGACATTTTTAACTCAAACAGTTTTCTTCATTAGCGATAGAGAGCAGGATGTTTAGATTCGTCTTTTAATACAAGCTATTTCATAAGAGCTTGTCAGAGAAGAAAATCTCGCTTCATTTCATGTCTGTGATACTTACAAAAACGAACACATGACAAAAATCTGATCGTAAGGACCGGAGCAGCCTTCATTCAAGTAAAATGTTTAAAATCATAATAAAAAACCATCTTTCTATTATTACATAAATTCCCACTTCTCACCAGCACCTTCTCTGGATAGGGTTGGCTAGTATTCCTAAACCGCATTTTACATAATGTACCCCTAATTGTTTTTTTTATTAGCAACTTCTTTTTCATCCAAAAAAAAAAAAAAAAAAAGCCAGACAACCAAGAAGAAAAAGCATTTCCCTCTCAATACTGCGATTTGATCTAAAAAAAGGAATTACTCCTCAAACCTGCAATGGGCATTTGTCTGCAGATGATTTCTGACCATTGATTCATTTGGCTGTGTTTTTTTGTTTGTTTGTTTGTTTTTGTTTTTTTTTTTTTTAATGCACGTTTAAGGTGGCAATTCTCTGCAGTGCTGGTCAGCCCTGGCGCTGGCTGCGGGCGGTCTAGGGTTTCTTCGCGCGAGCAGTTGGGACACCACGTGAATTGATTTTCTCTGCAGTGACCGCTCCAGTCTGACTGGCACCGCGGCTGCCTCTCGGCACATCTCATTAGGGTGGGCGGCAACTGGCAGCAGCTGGTGTCAGATTATAGAGGTGTTTTCAACAATGAAAACACAGCCCCTCCGTCTTCAAGGCAACGCTAAATCATTTAGATGGTATCATTTTTCAGTTAAGAGCATGATTTGGGGACAAAGACGACTTAAGAGTTGGAAGGGCCCCCAGCTTTCTCAAGCTTGGAGGACACCGAGCGTTTCTGAAATCACTTCTCTTCCACCTGCATTGTTTGGAAGGACTTGTTGCCGGGTAACAGTTTAGCAGCCATTTTCAAGGGCTGGGGTTTTTTTTTTTTTTTTTCTTTAATATATATATATATAGATATCTTTTTAAATTTTTTAAATGTTCTATACACTAGTGGGGGAGTTGTACATGATTTTTTCCCCTTGGAATGCAGTTAGCAAACTCTTTTACCAGATGCATAATCTTAAAACTGTGTAAAATAATATTGCAATATACAGGTCAGTTTGCTCAGTTACGCTGCTCCTGGGCTTTGCAGCCTTCCTCTGTTAGCTCTGCTGAGCTCCCCGCCTTGACAGCTGTGGGGTCTTCGAAATTCCCAGAAGCCTCCGAGTCGACTCTGGAGCGCTTGAACCTGCGGTCGGGGTACTGACTGTTGTCAAAAGGCATACGATGGACGCAGAGGACGTGGGTCTTCAGGTTTCCCTTCTGAGAGGCACTGTAGGGACAGTATCGGCACTGGAAAGGCCTGTGACCTGCGGGCACAAAGAGGAACCGGTCAGCTCTTCTACTTGCTCCCTCCTCGACCCCCACGGCTCAGAGGACAGCATCGTTATTACCAGTGCTATCAGTCTTATGATTGCAGTCACTTTGCAAACTCAGACTGGCAAAGGACAGAAAAGTAGCCAATATACCTATCTGGACAAATAATAAGTTACTCACTAATAATAACTCAGACAGGGATTTACAAGACCTTTCCATCCTAGCGAGAGCTTTAATTCAGACTTTCCCGGTGACAGGAGAGAATGTTCCCAACACCTAGATCTTTTTTTTTTTTTTTTTCCTCTACACTGTTAGATAGCCAATATTTTAGGCTTTGCAAGCCAAGACACAAAATCAAAGGTATTACGTAGGCACCTCTGTGACAAGGGAGGAAATAAATTTCCAACGCCTTATTGATGAAATTCGAAACTTTTTTTTTTTAGACCCTGAAATTTGAATTTCGTATAATTTTCGTGGGAGATGAAATAGTCGTCCTTCTTCTTCTTCTTTTTTTTTTTTTTTCCAACCATTTAAAACGTAGAAACCATTCTTAGCTCCCAGGCTGCACAAAGACAGACAGTAGAGGGATTTGATCCCCGTATTGTACTCTGCTGACCCCAGTTCTACACACACACAAAGCCATAAATCCCTCCGCCTGGGATTCTGACTCAGGTCTCAGCACTAAGCCAGTTCACTTTCTTATCCTCCCATCGACTCTTTACAGATAAGCAACAGAGCATGAGGAGGGAGTGTGTGTTTGCAGTGGGGTGACTCAGGGCCGTGGCCCAAGCCTCGCTCTGGGGCAGGGCTGGAAGAATTTGCAGAACCACTGGGTTTCAAGAGGAGGCCGGAGAAGATATCGGCGGCAACCAAAATGTTCAAATAACCACGGCCAGGGTAGTTTTAAAGAAGCTAGATTTTGAATAGTAACCCTTGAAATCAAATTTTTCTAGAAACGCCCTAAATCAGAACAAAACGTGGACTCTGGTGGAAACCCACCCAATCCATCAGGCTTGATTTCTCTGTCCTGAGGTACAGCAGACAGGCACCCATTTCTGGCATCTTGAGGAACCAGTAAAGCATCTGGTTTGGGAAGTTATAATAGAACAATCGCATTCCCCGCTGATGCTCGGAAGCTGTGGATGTCCATTCCTGGAAGTTCTTGAGTACTGTCCCACCCAGCAGCACCCAGAGAGGTCAAGGCCCGAGGCTGGGTTTCATTTGCTCCGAAAAATAAACAAGTAAATAAAAAGGCCCAACCATTTACACCAGAAAACATCCAAACAGCACACTCAGCACTTTTGCTGCAACAGTAATAGCAGAAGTCCTGTGTATCTACTTAGCAAAGCAGTCTTGTTCCCGAGAAACTGGAGGCCAACCAAATGTTTGGAGCTGGAGTTCGCTTTCACTTCTCATTGCACACGGTCCTAGAATCTTCCTTCTTTCTTACTTGGTTTGCGGAGGGGGTGCTCCCTGCCCTCCCTCCTAGCCAATTGATCTCCAGGATGAATCTCTTCTACCTGGTGAGTCTCCCTCTTTCTTCCCCATCCCCCCTCAAGGCTGATCCGGTGTGTCCCAACTCTTGCCTAGACTATGAACACGGCGGCCTGCAGGAGGGCTTCACGCTGTCAGGTGTGGCCCCCCCTCCCCCCGCCCACCCCTGCCAGGAATACCAGAGTGGGCCCCTAAAGGAGGAGCTCAACTGTGATTTCCTTGCCTCAAACCTTTGATGGTCACCTGCCCTCTAAGGGATAATCAGGACCTCCGAGTCCAGTCCCAGCCACCTCTTCCACCTCCTCTGGAGCATCCTTCCTTTGTCCACAGCAAACCAAACCATTAATGGTCTCTGCAAAAAGGCTTCATTCTGCAGGGTCTCCATGCCCTTGCCGTGCGACCCTGTCCCTGAAATACCGCTTCCATTCTCTCTCTCCTTTCGAGGTTCCGCCCAAGCGGGATGCTGCTTTTGTGGGCTACTGTGTATTGATCCCCCTGATTGGCCGGGAGCTTCTGGCAGGAAGCATAGCCCTCTTAGGACCATTGGTGCCAAGCCCACTGCCTGGCACAGAGAAAGCAGGCATGAACTGTTTAGGGAACTCACCTATCATTGTTTCACCTTGCCTTTTTTTTTTTTAAGGTATTCTATATTTTTGGATAGGGTTTCTGCGTCTTTTGCTTCTACTGTTGCCTCTAACGCAAGGCTGGATTTGATCAACTTTCCCACTTGGCCAAAAGCCAATTTGCAAAGCTGTGGACTTTGGAGTTAAGAATAAACGAAGCCCAAGAAAAGTACACTTACTGTTGGCCCTTCTGCATTGCCGACCACAGCAAGACGAGGCGCAACAATCAGCAGGAGGGGCCAGGACCTTGACTGTCAGATAAGAGAAAGATTCGCCAGCATCACTCCTGCCTGCCTGCGACCCAGTGCCACCCTTGGGGCTTGGTTACCTCTCCCACAGAAGACAAGGGAAGGCCCTGGGTTGGTGGGGAAGGAGAGCTGAGACTCCTATTTCTTATGTGGATTTAGGAAGTTTACAAAGAAGGTAAGTGGCCCCATTCTTCACCACGCTGGAGTTAGGGCACAGACACAACAGGGAACAATCCAGTCAGTGGTAGTAGGGCAGGAAAAGCCATTCTCTCCACCAGAATAGTGACTCTAAGTCAGTCCTAAGCCGGGGATCAGTGCGTTTCAAGCAGATCCCAAGACCCAGACACCCAACTCAAGAAGCCGCCATTGCTGTGGACACTAAACCATACCCAGGGCTCAGGGAGAGAAGATTCTGAGTACTCGGGGAGAGCAACTGTTGAGCAGAAGAAAAGAGGGCCCGGATCTATAGCCAGAGGCATCTGAACTAATCGAAGGGCATCCAAAGAACCTGAGCAGAACTGAGACACCAGTTCTCAGGACGCGTAAGAAATGTTTTTAAAGTTTTATCCAAATCTTCTCAGAAACGGACTGCATTTTCTCGGTAGCCGCCAAAGGCAGCTCAGCTCAGTGGGAGCCTGTTATGCTAATGTCCACGGCTCACCCAAAGCTGGAGCTAGCTCACCCGACGTAAGAATCACATGGTAGCGAATCACTGACGGAGAATAGCACCGTGGTCCGACAAGTCTCCAGAGTTAAGAACTCCAAATAATAAAGAAATAAAAATCAAAAGTAAAACCAGAACTCTTGGTACCACGATCCAAAGAATCTAACGCAAGCGAGCAAAGACCAACCCGTGGTATCGTTCAATACGTCTGCCTCAGGTCCCGGGATTCAACGTGGTTCTGTTCTTCCACTGTTTTTGTCCATCTGTCAAGGCTATTTATTGTATTTTCTCTCTCTGTTTTTCAACGATTGCTTATGTTGAGAGAGAGAGGGGGCACACGAGCAGGGGAGGGGCAGAGACACAGAGGGAGAATCCCAAGCAGGCCCCAATGCTGTCAGCGCAGAGCCTGATGCAGGGACTCGATCTCATGAACCATGAGATCCTGACTTGAGCCGAAATCAAGAGTCAGACGCTTAAGTGACTGAGCCACCCAGGCGCCCCAAGTTATACTTTCCATTATCATTACGAACAATACATTTCTGTATGAATTCTACACTACAACCTTTGGAAGCCACCTTCTCTGCAAATTGTACCACCAGGAGAGCCATGCAACATGCATCTTGGCAAGCCAAGTGGAGAACCTCAAGTGTCACCTTTATTCACACACAAAAAAGTTTTTTGAATTGGCCAACGTGGCCTAAAAGCACCTGGTGCGTTTTCGCCACCAATTTATTTTAAAATATTAATCACGTTTTAAACTATGGCACTATCGGAGTCTCTAAGTCTTGGTACCGTGAGGGATGTGCTAGAATTCTGGCATATTTGGATACATCCGTGGTCAAAACATTAGTAAGTAGGGAATTAGTTTTCATTTTAACTTAGGTGAGATGGAAATCTATATGTAAATGTATAGAACACTACGCAGGTGTACTTTTAGAAGAAAGTCTATACGATATTAGAATCATAATAAATCCTGACCTTGCCCTATAGCTTGTAGGTAGAAGCACTGTAGATTATAATGATAGTACCCATTATACCCTGAAGATCCCACAAGCCTGCATTCCATAGCTTTTTACATATATTTTTGTATGCTATCCTCATTTCTGAGCTCTAGGGCGCTTTGGTCCAGGAGTGACATCAGCCCCATTGCACAGATGAGGAAGTTAAGATACAGTGAACCCGGGCAGTTTCGATTTAAAACAAATTTCCACCAGGTATAAAGCACCCAGATGCCCTAATTCTCCAAAATCCTTACAAGAGCCATGATGGCAGTGTGTTCTTATAAGATCTACATATACACATACAACCCCTCCCCCACCCCCCCAGCTTCTAAGTGGCTTGTTGAAAGGCCCAGAAGAAGTCAGTGTGTTCGCCAAAGGATCAAGTTTCAAGTGGAAGTCTGTCCCTCGGTGCCACAAACATTGACTCCCAAACAGAAAGCTATTGTGATGCAAAGCCCTTTTGAAATTTGGTATCCTCCTGAGTCCAGCTAAACCTGGATGAATCAATTCGCGTTTCTCTACGCTTTTGTACACTTGAAGCCCCTGGTAATTGGCACGTGAGCAGTGATGTCTGTGGAGGTCTGTGACCTTTTGGTCAGAGACCATAAGCAAAGGCTTGGGAACAAACCCCAAATCTGAGCGATCCCCGGAATAGTTCACTGTGTGTTCAAAGATTTGTGACAGAGAAGGGATCCATCTGTAGGCGTGGGGGGGGGGTGTGCCCAGGGAACTCAGTCTCTGGGTCTGACCTCCAGTAAGGAATGTGATCTCTCAAGGCTTCAGTTCCCACACCTTGAAAATGGGGCAGACTCTGCCACAGGATGTCACGAGGAGCAGATAAAATAAGGTGTCAAGTCTGGAAGGAATACGGGACCATATGAATCAGCTGTCTGTCACTGTCACGCTTGCTGTTTCTATCATCGTCATCTCACCGCCCGTCTAAGCCTGGCGGGGGGCCTCGGC